TGCTTAGAACTTAGAATGTTGCTTAGAACTTAGAATGTTGCTTAGAATGTATGACTTCAAAGTGAAGAACAGTTGTATCTAGTGTGATTTGCTGAATGGCTGCTGTTAAAAAATGTGGTGTATTCAGTACATTCGGAGAGACTGAAAGTTAAAACACATGGTTCTAATTTGATTATTAATCTAATTGTCTACATAGTTCCAGTGCTTTCTCTTTGGTGTGCTAGTGTTTTTAAAAAACATTCTCAAATACATCTCTAACATCCATGCTTTATCTTGAGCATCTAAAACCTGAGGTACCAAAATGAGTTAAATCAGCAGCAGTTTATGACATAGTTGTCATAGCATTACATGTTCAATTCCCACTTGCAAAGTGGCATTCATAACAAATTCTTCATTGAGACACTTAGAGAATCAAAGAATCCTGCAGATGTTAACAGGCTGATTTAAGCATTTGTCAGAACATACTTTTCTTTCCCAGTCAGCCAGGGTTATGTTAAAACACTTTTTTTTTTAATGCTAGATGTTTAAGTCCACAGCAATTTCAAATCTTCTGCAAAAGATAGGGAAAGTGTAAATATAGCAAAACACTATTTCAGAGATCTCTGGTTCAAGCAACACAGCTAACTGAATCTTGATTTCTGCTTCTCTTTCTGTAAATGATGCATCAAGACTTTTAATGTGATTTATGCCAAGAATATTAATTTCAGTGAAAAATGAGTCAGTAGTATTGATGAGTAATATCCATGTCCCTTAGGGATCCCCATGTTGCAAAATAATGCAAACAATTCACAAAGCCAAATAGTAATTTAAGAGCATAATGTTTGGATTCACAAGGTGCCGCTGTTGTTGCATGTTTCCCTAAGCAAAGAAATGAAGCCCTCCTTATTTCTGGATGACAGGTCACAGAAGTAATAGCTTAGGACAATGAATAAATACAGCAATAGCACTTCATGCTGATCTTGCTCCTTCTGGTTTTGCAAAAGAGCATGGCCAGGCTCATCTGAGTTAAAGCTAGCTCTGTGTGCATTATGAATATGAGGCAAAATGTTTATCTCAGTAATACTCCGTCACTGAGGAAAAAGGGGAATAGTAGTTAAAAGATTTAGTAGCAGATGTGAGTAGGCAAGTTTTCATTACAACAGTTGACGATATATTTCTAAACTTCTTTCATTTGCTGGAATGTACATTCTTGCACAAAATGTTTAAACTTTCTATTTGTGAAACGTATTTTATTTTTTCTTTGTTAAAAGGCAGGAACCATTGTTATGCCTACAAAACCATACACTTTAAAATGATGTATTTAAAACTCTTAAAATATCTTTGTTTACAAAAAAAAAAAAAAAAAAAATCCAGCTGAGCAGAATCCTTGCATGAGACTCAAAGCTAATAGAAGACTTCAGAATGGCAGCCAACAAGGAACAGTTTTATGTCAGGCTACTGTTCTGCCAAAAAAATATAGATGAAAAGTATTATTATGTAGTGAGACTACATAGAGAGAGGGCCTGGAATTGGAGCCGTTGAAAATAAAACACTATGATTTTGTCTCCTATAGATAATTCATCAATGTTGAAAGTATCTTTAAAACAAAATAATAAAGCATTAGCTCTGGCTTTGAGCGTGGAGAAAGAAAGTTCTCGGAAGCTGAAGAATGAGAGGATTTTTCTTCAGAAAGAAGTAGAAAAGCTGCAGCTTCATAATATCCTGCTTCGTCGAAAACTAAGCTGTTTGGTATATTGCCAATAATGTTTAAGCCTAGATCAGACAAACCAAGCTTTCGTCTTTAATTGAAACATAATGTTGCCTTTCAAAATGGTGATTTCAAACACTTGCATCTCAGATTTTTGGAGCTGTCATCTCATAGCAAATCATTGTTTTTTTGATCTTCCTTTCTTAGGAATTTTTACACTAACCAGTTTATTCAAGAGTGTATCTGTATAACCATGGTTATTTCAGTGTCAGCTTCATTTCTGTGTTAAAAGGTATTGAAAATTTAGTTTGTCCTCAGCTGGGTGAAAAATTACAACAAATACCTTTATATCTTGTCTTTCTTAGGAAAAAAAAAAATAAATTTAAAAGATACTTTTATATTTTTTTCTTCCTTTGCATGCAGAATAAAACTCTTAGAGAAATAGGAGCATTTTTGAGTGATAACCTGTTAAATGCAATAGAAATAAGCAGTCTTTCTGAGGTAAGACTTTTTCTAACTATTGCCATATCAAAATCTATGTAATAGCTCCAGGATAATATTTTCAAAATATCTAAACGACTAAAATGTTGAAATCATATATGCATTTAAAAACATCTACCCCTATTGTTTAAAGTAGAGGAGAGTCCCTAGTCCAGTGAAGTCAGTGGCATTTCACTGCTACAGGCAGTAAAGATAGAGGATTTAATCTTGTTTACAAAAAGCCTGAAAGTTTTGTATCAGATGAAATGCAGTTACATGACTTTAACAAAATACTTCTTCCCCACTGTTCTTCTTTTGAAAGAATCTTCAGAGTTCTTTTCCTCTGTCAGACAGTCCACGTAGCTGTACTGATGACCAGGTGAAGAGTATGTGTCAGTCAGCAAGGTAAGTTGTATTAAATCTGGAAGCTGGTAAGTATGTGTAGATTTTTTTTCTTACAATTAATCTTTTTATGATCTAGATATTTTTGAAGTAACTAGAAACAATTTCCTACCTAATTCAGAAACTATCTGCAACTTTTAATGATCAGGATGATAGTGAGAGTAAACATGTGTTTGAATAACTTGCTTCTTTCTACGTGAGATCTCACCAGCACAAAGCAGATGTAGTGTCATAAATACCACTGCCCCTAAGACAGAAGCAGAAGTAAAGTGCATTTCATACCAGAAACTTTGTCTTCTTATATATTACTGAAGAAATGTTTTAAACAGTTGAATATTATGGTATAAAACATAAAATCTTCACAGTAAACTTTTCTCTTTTCAGATCTGTAGAATTGTCGGTGAAGCTTCCTTTACTTGCAACATCTGCTGGAAAACAGCAAGGTAGCCCTTCTGTGTGTGCCATAGCAAATTATTTTAGACGTACCGCTATTTTGTCAAAGGAAACATGTTCAGATCAAGTCCAGTTTGCATCATCGTTGCTTTCTGGTAAAAGTTAAATGAAATAGATCCGATGGAAGCAACCATTGACAAAATTTTATTTTTTAGGATGCAAGGTGTATATTCTGTAGAGAAAATACCTGTTTTTCAGAGCTAGATGAGGGTTGGTATGAAATAGTTCATTATTTGATGTGTAATACAGAAGATATGGTGAGATTGCTAAACTGTAATACGCTTCTCAGAAGCGGTGACCACCCATAAGCACGTGTGTCTCGACGATAACATGTAGACTGTTGTTTATTCAAATAACACATAAAAGTGTAAGAAAATTAATGTGAACAGAACGGCATTGTGGTAGTTAAATAGCTGCAGAGGTCATAGAAAACAAATAGGTTTTTATTTCACAGAATCATAGAATTCTTAGAGTTGGAAGGCACTGAAGGCCATCTAGTCCAATTCCTCTGCAGTGAACAGGGACATGCCCAGGGCCTGATCCAGACTCACCTTGAAAGTCTCCAGAGATGAAGCATGAACCACATCACTAGGCAACCTGTTCCAGTGCCTCACCACCCTCACAGTAAAAGAATGTTGTTTTCCAAGCTTCCCATGCAGCTTTCAGTAAGGTGTCTTATTCTGACAAGCTGCTAAAGTTTTTTGTTTTTTTGGTTGTTTTTTTTTTCCTTCCAGAAAATCAGTTTTGCGCAGAACTAAGCAGTAATAGCACGTTCCTAACTCATGTCAATAATGTACAACCTCTAAGACAGTCTGAGGATTTCACAAGACAAGATGACAGTTCATTGCCATTCTGTGGAAATGTGACTGAAAGAAAGAAATGTGCAACACATCATGGGTCAAAACCACAACTTACTGTAAAGGATTCTGGTAGAAAATGTAGCTCAAATCTTCCTCCTCATGGTAGCAGCAGCAATGAGGTGAATGTGAAGGAAAGTCCAAGTGATTTGCTTCGCATTATTCCTTCACAACTTGATTTTAGCAGTGAATGTAAGGAGATGCTTCCTATTGATGGGATAAAACCTGAAGAAACTGTTTATGATGCTGATATGGAGTTGACTGCCAGCGATGAAGGTAAACTGCTCACAGTTGCATCAAAAGACAAATTACATAAAAATAATAATGCCAATTCTGGTAAAGTATTGGCAAATTTCAGAAAAGTAAAATATTCTAAAAGTGAGAAAGAGAAAATTAAAAACAAGACTGAAGTCAATTCAAATTTTTATGCAGAAGAAAACCATGTTAGGGCTGACAGTAACATTTCAAATATAACTGACCCACAAACTCAGCTATTCCAAAGTCAGACAGAACAGCTACCTACACAGAATTCTACAGTGAAACAGAATTTACTGAATACCAATAACTGTAATCAAAACCAGAATTGTCTAAGTAAGGATAAAGATACTAGAAGAACATACCTAGTTAGCTTAGTGCATCAAGAACAAGAATCGAATAAAGAAAATTCCTCAGAAACATTGGAAGATGTGGAAAACAAAATAATAAAAGCATCATCAAGCTTATCTAGTAGTGAGATTCCACCTCAAGTTTGCTGTGCTGAAAGCTTGGCGTTCCAGGATAACAGCTCTACTGTACTACCTTTACAGCAGGACTTTCCGCATGAAAACAAGAACAGTGTCAGACTGCTGAGAAATGGGAAGACCTTTCAAAACCCTTCAAAAATGAATACAGCTAAACACTGTAAAGTTGATAATGGGAAGTATGAAGAATATGGTTCAAAAAAGTCTCAAACAGACAGGTGCAAATGTGACAGCAAGAGAAAACAATACCAGAAGAATATTATAAAGAGCAAATGCAACAAAGAAGGTGGTTACAGACAAAGAGAAACTGAAAATGACAGTGTTAATAATATTATTCAAAAAGTAGATCAAAAGAGTGGTAATTTTTCACCAGGCAGATTAAAACACACGTTGGCAAAGGCTGCACGTAAAACATATGTAGTACCAACTAAAGATCTTACTACGTTCTCGCTTTGCAAAAGGGAAGAATTAGAAAATAAGAATGCATTGTGCACACAGGCTGTTCATGGAAATAAAATAACTGAAACCCAGCAATCTCAAGGAGCTTTAGTTGCTCAGAATGGTATGGCAATGAATATACCACAAGCTAAAGCCTCCACAGGAAATGTTGACAGCAATGCTGATAAGTTAAAGAGAGCAGATTCCTCATCAGCAGCATGTGAAGAATCTAACATTAGTAATTCTTGTGACAATCAAGTGAAAGAAAAAGGGAGCCTTAATTCTGGTATCATGGAGAGCAGACAAAAAAAGAATTATTTCAGGCATACTGATCAGGGACAGCTGACTTTTTTGGATGACCAGGAAGTCTCTCATGAGATGGATTCCTTTATGAACAAGTTAAAGCCCACAGTGCAAAAATTAGAAATTTTAGAATCGTTACCTGTTGATTGTTCTAAGAATATAACAGTCAGTACAGGTAGCTTTTTCCAGAAAGATTTTTCTGAAATGAAGCCCACAGCTCTTGATAATCTTAATGCTTCTACGAACTTTATACTGAAAAATTCAGAAATTTCAGGAAAAAACGGTCAAGATAAAGCACCAATTTCTGGAAAAGCAAAGCAAAAATCAGATCGTATTTCTAAAGAGATTTCTGAAAAAACTTTGACACATTGTCATGGTAAGTGTATGAGAATGGGGGAAAAAAGCATTTTTAATTAATTTTTGTATGGAGTAATGATAAAAATATGTTCCCTCAAAACTATTCCACTGGTTCCTTGCTTACAGTGAATGAAATAGAAGTGAAAAGGTAAGGCTCAAAATCACTGAAATGATTCATGTATCAGTCTCGCAATTGTGATAACTAATATCCTGCTACTGTGTAACGTGTTCCAAAAAGACATTTTGTCACATAGGTTAAGCAGTCCCTGTGCTTGAGGAGCAGTTATAATTGGAACTTGTGTTCATTTTGCACAAGAATGTTGTACAATTCAGAAAAGCAGGGTTAAAAAGATAAAGTAACTTTAAGTTTTATACAAGAGAAATGTCACTGTACACTGTTCCCTCCATAGATGGGGAACAGAAACAAGGGTGGTTTTCATACAGTAGGCTTACAAATTCCATATTCAGTGTCACAATGTAATAGTATCAAAATAGGTGCAAAGGCAAGCCATCATTCATCTGGCAAATATGAGTTTCCTCTATGTGATCAAAAGCAAGTATTTTCTGCCTCAGGCAATTTAAGGTGGGTAAAGACTTCATTCTCCAAATGTGAAAATATGAGGGTTTCTGTTTTGTTGAAAAACTGCTTCCCATATGTTCTCATCTGGATGCTGTAAATCCAAGACTTGACCTGTATCAGCAGGGAATGTATGCTCCTGGAAGACACTGACAAGAATACAGATTAAGGCTGTGTTTATTTTATCTTGCATTGGTCCCTCTATTAAATCTCTGTGCTTTCCGGAGAGCCTGTGATCCACCTTAGATTTTTTTTTTAAATTTGGGGTAACGTAATAATTTCACTATTTCTCCCAACTTAGCAAAATCTTTCTCTCCAAACTAAGTATTGAGGTTTAGTCTGGCATTCTGCATTTGATCTTAAAAAATTTTGCAATATTGATAGTGCTGCTTCTGAGGCTGGTTGCATCTTAGTAGGGTATTGAACTTTCACATTTGCAGTGACTGAAAATACAAGACATCTCAAATAGCCCTGTAGTATAAGTTTTGAAGATAAGGAGGTTCACTTAATCACCTTGCTGTGCTTTGTGCGTGCATGCTCATAGAGCAGGTGCAAAGTTGAAAGATGTTACTAGTTGTAGACAACTCTTGTACAGTTTGATCCCTCCACGTTACACACGCGTGCCCTCCCTCCTGCATCTAAGGCCATGATCTGCCCGCAGTTTTGTTTTTTTTTTTTTACTGTAACATTATACCTGCTGGCTGCAGGTTAGGGTACCTCTGGGATTTGATTGTGTCTCAAGAGCATGGTAGACCTCAAACAGCTCCAAACTAGGTTAGGTTGAAAGCTGTTGTAATATCCTTCCCTTTGATCACATTCCATTATTTGTAGAGCACCTTAAGCACAGGAATAGCATCCAAAGTGCCTGAATTATAAGAAATACAAGGGCTGCTCTGAAAGTAGTATTTTATTATTTCAGCACATGACATCAGAGGCAGATGCTGGCTGTATGTTCTGACAGAATGCCATCTGCCATAGCCATGCATATAAAGCGAAGGTGCGTCACTGAATTCCTCCATGGGGAAAAAATGGCACCCACTGATGTTCATTAACACTTGCTGAATGTTTATAGAGACCAAACAGTGGACATGAGCACAGTGAGGTGATAGGTGGTGCGTTTCAGAAGTGGTGACGGTGAACGTGAAGACAAGCCACATTCCAAATGGCTATGCACAGCGGTCACACCATAAAATGAAGGCTGTCTCTATCAACTCATCTGTGCAAATCATCTGATAGTGATGACTATGATGAAAAATAGGGTTTTGTCACTGAGAATTTGCTGTATCGAATACTGTTATCGTGCTCTTTGTATCAGATGTAGTTTCCATGGAAATAAATAGGAAGCATTACTTTTGGAGTGACATATATACTAATGACAGATAATTATGAATTGAAATTTTACTTAACAGTTCAGAGAATATTTAAAATGAATCATAAAATATTTTTTTCACAGGGAAAACAGCTTTGCAAGATGTGACAAATACTAGTGAGTTTTCTCACACTTCCTTACCTAAATCCTCCCAGATTTTAGAAGAAGACTCAGCAGAACCGGTGAGACGAGGAAGAGCTGCTATTTGCTACAAAGAACCCCCTCTAAACCGGTAGGTATCAGGTGGAGAGGGGTGGTTTTGTTTATAGTACACAACTTAATAAAGATTTGCTATTAAAACCCCCAAATTTCTAAGAAATTAACTATTTATTTTGCAAACTGGAGTGGAATGATACCTCAGTGTTCATGTTTCCTCTTAGTGTGGCAGGATTTCCAGGTGCCAGAGTCAGACATATGTAGCCTACAGTTAAACTTTTTATGCCAGTATAATAATGATGAGTTCTTAATATTTATCATGACATAAACCCCTTTGGAGGTGTATAATTGTAAACATTATACTTAAATGTTATACTTTTGCCATAAAAATGTCCTTGTAATATTGCCAAGTGACAAGATAATTTCTGTAATGATATTACAGAATTCTGTAATCTTCCTTTAGCTAGATATATCTAACATAATAAATCATTTGAGTTTAAGATATTTTAAATTAATAATTAGTTATCTAGCTCAGTGTTCTTGCTCAATTCACTAGCACAAGATTTCCAAGATCTTTTAAAGATATGGCAGAGATTGCCATAGCTATTAAAAATTAAAAGAGGATTTCAAACATCCATTAATAAAATCAGCATATTTGTACAAATGGGGTACCTGTAGACCTAAATCTCAATGGACCGTTAAGTTGAAAATAACTCCTGAACATATTCAGACAGCTTTAGCCACCACTTTTTGGTTGTTGTTGTTTTTTTCAATCCTAATCTAAGGAAAAAATATCTTCTATTATATGTATATTGATAGACTGCATACTCAGGAGCTAAAGACTATTGAGATTTTCTTATTATGGTCTGGAGAATTAAACGGTTATAGGTACTTATTTTACAAGTCAGGTGCAGAAGGGAGTATGTTGGTGAAAATGAGGGGAGAAGAAAATAAGACCACAAACTGAAAATTTCACACAGTATTTCCATACACCCACAAAATATTTTTGTTTCCCTTGGTAAACAAGCAAATAATTAACTGAGGCACTGAGGTTGAAGACAGATAGAAGCTAAAAGCAAAGTAAGAACTGTCTATAATTTTATCAACATTTGCTTGTTTGTTTTTCAGAAGTATTTATGAAATTGTGCTTGTAAAATTACAAAAAAAAAGAAAAGAAAAAAAGGGGGGGGGGACTATAGTTGCATTTTTGCTTTACTGATTTTAATTGGATGCTAAATTGATGCTGTGATAATATGGCCAGTGACACATTCTCCTTTGGATGATTAGGTTTTGTATTTCTGGAGAGAGACAATAAAGCAAAAATAGGAAAAAAAAATTGGAATTCACTTGAGAATTTCAATTACATGGCTATGATTTGTAGCATTATTTTCAAAAAGAATGTTATCTATGCTTTGCTAATTCAATCATATTTGTTTTCCATAAAATTAAGTTCTTTAATGTATCTAACTTTCAGCGGGATTATTTAGCACTTGCCATTGTTATTATGATTATATAGACATATGGTGACACTCACATGATATTTTCTATTTCTTTTGTTCACAGAAAATTAAGACGTGGGGATCAGTTTACAGATACACAGTTTCTGCACTCCCCAGTCTATAAAGTAAAAAAGAAAAGAAGCTTTAAAAGTAAATCAAAATTTATTTGAAGAAGACAAGAGAATTGCCTTTATGAACAGCACTTCTGAAATGGTACTTTTTTTTTTTCTTCCAAAAATCTATGGTTTAGTAGTACAGGATGCTTATTGTTCTTCAATAGATAAACAGAAAACAAAGACTGCAAAGCGGAATTTCTCTCAGAAAAGACCCACAGCACAAAGGACATAGAACTCTTCACCAAAGAAAGCAAATTCAGGTTAGGATCCAGTCTCGTGTTCTGAATTTTTGCTCAGTAATTTATAATCTTTTCAAAGTATTTGCAGCACTTATTAATTTGTAAGAAAAGTGTAAGTTTTAATGAGAATTAAAAGCAATCACGTTTGGGAATTACTGTGATTTCTTTGTATATACTATGAGCAGAGTAATTTATCAGTGCTAGCTGGAGCAGATATAAGCATCCTAAATATAGGTGCAGAGAGCCTTGGGTGTGGTTGTTTTTTCCTTGGTTTGTTTTGGTTGTTTTTTTGTTTGTTTGTTGTTGCTATTTGTTGTTGCTTTTATCTGACAGTCACACTGAGATCTGAATGAGGAGATCTCATTTTTAGGAATTGTTGAAAGAAACCCAGTATCATGCATATGGCTCATAGGCAATGCTCGTAGCAATGCTTTGAGTTTCCAGTTGAGACTGTGCTACTGTGACAAATACTACAACCATGCCATAGCACTCAGCTATCAGTTTTTAGACCATTTCCCCTCTGGACCCTCATCAGTCACTTCTGCATTCTGTTGTGCCTTGTCATGAGACAAACAACTTTTGGGTGATATCTAAGTTCTAAATGCTGCCCCCATAACCTCTATGGATTATTTTGGATAGGGTTCAGATTCGTTTTGGAACCAAGATCATTTTATCTCATTTTTAATGAGACACAAAGTGATTCTTAACACAGTATTAATCAGACAAATTAATGGAAGAAAAATCCATGAGGAATTACTGGAAATGCTGTTTTTAAGGTTATTCACTCTTGAAACCCTTCACAGACTGAGCAGTTCTACAGTAAGCTAGACCTTTGATCTCATCTGGTAACTCTTGTATTTATAAAGTTTAAAAAACAAACAAAAATCAGTACTCTTTGTACTTCATTGTAGCTTTTCTAGCATTGTAACCTGGGTAAGTGAGAAAATTCTGGTTTCTGTATATTTGAAAGACAAAGTGTTTGAGAATAGTCAGCATGGATTTACGAAGGGAAGATCATACCTGATTGAGCTGATAACCTTCTGCAATGTGACCATTAGCGTGGTGAGTGAGGGGACAGCAGTGAATGTTTTTTACCTCTACTTCAGTAAGGCTCTTGGCAGGATTCTCAACAGTCCTTTTCTTTCTGAAGTGCACTTTGCATGTCGCTACACTGGTAAAATCATTATGAAGAGGTGAGGTAATGGATGGAAACATAGATTCTATCTTGATCCAATACTATTAAAGAAAGAACTACATACACTGCTATGCGCTTCTTCACATATCAACATTGCTAGCTGCGTCATTAGAAATCCAAAAGAAGCATCTGTTACAACTTGTATTCCCCATACTGGCACTGCAGCAGCGAAACACAGTAATTTCATTTGTTTGTCCTAAATGGTTGTTTCTCTCTATTGCCAATGGTTTGAAAACTAAAAACAGAAGTCCAGGTTTCTTTTCTTGGGGGGGGGAAAAAAAGGATCTTTTGGAGATAGTCTTAGTTATTTTTTCAGTGACGTTCCTGCTGTTCAACACTGCCTCTGTTACTTCCAGTTAGGCTGCTGTTGTGTTTCAGGCAGTTTTAAATCAAGCTGTAAAACCTGGGCTTTATGCCTTGCCTTCTTCAACTTGCATTAAGTATAGATATCTTTCAGAGTATGAAAGGATAAAGAAAGTGACCTGAGAGAGGGAAGAAGTTACTTTATGAACCTCTGAAATCACATCACTGTTATTACAGCACTTGTTTCATTGTTATCCATCCTTACTTTTGTTGCTCAAGTTGATGCTACAAGCAGAGATAACATTTACTCTTAATATCTAAGGTCTACTTATTTTGTTTATTCTATAAAATGGCTACTTGAAGCACTGCGTAAGAAATGATGGAATACCTGCTTAGTGCTGAATCTTCACTTTCACTGTAAAAACAGCTCAGAATATTGCAGATAAAATTGCATCTGCTAAAATTGCATCTGCAGCTGTCACAGAGATTAAGATCTTTCTTTTTTTTTTTTTTTGAGGATAAGGTACTTCGGGCTTCTTTTTGTGGCATCAAAGTTGTTTTTTTTTTTCCTTGCGTTTATGCAATTACTTTTAAATATATATTTAATATTTTCATTTATCACTGAAAGATTTTGTTTGTTTTAAAGAAAATTACTTCAATATACTTGCACAGCTATGGGTTATAGAATCACTGTTTAAGTGGCCCTTATAAATGCTTAGAATGTCTTGAAGCTAATGAAGAATATTTTGTGAGCAGAAATTTATGCAAAATTTCCACAGGGCCTACAATCACTAATTTGCTGGGTTTAACCACAATTCAGAATTACTTTGGAGGCTAAACTGTTACATAGGTGGCTCCAAAATTAATGCCTCCAGTTTAATTCTTTCAGAACTCTAACAAAAAGCACAACAATACTATTTAATAGAGAAAATTCTCAGCTACAAAACATTATTTTCCAGCAAGAGGCTGCATGCTGTGCTTGTGAAAGCTTGTGACAGCAGAGGTGACCCACTGTTGCCACTGCTGAAACGCATCACCCTTGCCTTGCTGCGCTCAGTTCCACTGCTTGGTCTCCGTAAACTTTCAGCATCAATGAATGTCAGTGGGTGCCATTTTCTCCACATAGAGGAATCCAGTGACACACCTTTGCTTCATCCACACTTCGATGTGAGACACCATTTTGTCAGACTGCCCCTCTGCTGCCTCTGTCACACACAACAATGTGAGATGGGATACTGGTGGAGAGGTTCAACCTCTACTGCCATACTGCTAACATCCACCTCTGACACTGCGAGCCATCATATGAAAATAGGAGGCATTATTTTTCAGAGCAGACCTCATAGAAAGTACTAGCAGTTCACTCAGTTCATTTTGCTCTATGGGAACACATGCCCTTTATGAAAGTGGGAGGTTTGTTTTAATATTTTAAGCTACCTTAACAGAATGAAGTAAAAAAAAATTTATATGGTCAGCTCACATATTAAGAAAAAAAGTGTCTTGCAAGTTTCAGGGTCGCATAAGCAACATTAATTACGTGAAGCTACTCAGCTCTTCTGCCATTCATAGATGAATATGTCAACTCCGAGGAATCAATAAGCTCTCCATCCTTGAAATACCTGAAATGTGTTCTACTTCTCACATCAGTCTGAAATAGCTGAATTTTCCTGAGAGGTTTTGCTCTGTTTTGTTAAACAACAAAGCTTTGTACTTCAACAAAAGGTACAACAGGTTCAATAACTGCAACAGCCATCTCTTATCTGACCAATATAAACTATCATCTGTCCTGAACCCAGATTGCTGTGGGTACGTATGCTGCAACTCAGAAGGACCCCAAACAGTTCAGGGAAGAACAATCCGGATGCAGTTGCAGCCTTAGAACCTCTTCTGCATCCTCCACGTACGAGTATTTTTTAACATATAAACAACGCAAAACATTGAAATTAATCAGGATAAAGTATTCCGGAGCTTGCGTTTGAATTGCATTGCTGTAGGAAATTTAAATCACACGTAGTATTAACCCACCGGGCGCTCACCCGGTTCTGTTTGAGTTTGACAGAGCACGGCCCCGCAAGCCGCCTCCCACGCTGCCCGGTGTCCGCCCGCTGCCGCCCGGCCCCGCCCCCCTCGCGCAGGGCCTTTCCGGCTGCTGCTGCCACTGCCTGCGGTTTGCTGCCCTGAGGGTTCCGCGTTGGGACGCGATGTCTCTGCAAGGGGCGGTAGGGGCTGCGGAGTTGGTTTTCTATGTCAATGGCAGAAAGGTAAGTGTCGTTGGGAGGGAGCCTGAAGGAAGGGTAACTGCTGTTTCAAAAGTAGCCCCGAAAGGCGTGGGCGCAGATAGGATCTAGTTTTCTTAGATTTCGTCCTTGGGAACGCGTAATTGAATCCTTCCAAAGCCTTTGGAATGTGAATCAGTTAGCTAGTATTATTACAGTTAGTTAGTTCTCTTGCGTTACAAGTACTGTAAGAAAGGGAGAAGCATCGGAGGAAGACAGCTGTTACTTAAATCATCCTGTTGTAGCTAGTTCTGCTGAGTTTGGGAGGGGGAGTATCAAAATGAAGTGAACTTTCAGTTGGCTCTGAACTTTCATTTGGCTGGGGAATGAACTAGTTTTTTGCTTGTGCGTGCCTGGCTTCTCATCTTCACTGGTTATTGGAGAAGAAAATTATGTAGGCATGAAAGTTGTCAGCAAGGCTCAAGCGCCAAAATATGGACTGTTCCAAAGATAATACTGCAAGAGCAAACCAAAGCTTGTTACTGATTAAATGCAACTGCGAGGAACTAGCTGATTCTAAGCAATAAGAAATCCTAAGGAATAAGACTCTCTGTAATGGAGACAAAAATGCAGGCATTTTTATTGCTCTCAGTTGTTAGCCTAGTAAGATAAGTGAAAATTTATATAAACAAAACTAGAAAAAAAAATCCTGTTGACAGCCTGAGAGGCTTCCTCTGGTGTTCATCCTAGTGGTTTAAAGTGCTAGAGAGACTCTAAAATCTGTAAATGATTAATTTGTTATGTTGTGCTATCTCTATTGTGGCAAAATCCTGTTGCATTTTTATTTCTAATGTGATTGAAGTTTAGTTCCCTCAGTACGACCTTTCAGTGAGCAGCATTTATTTTTAGTACATCCTGACAGAATACATATCTGTCTATGAAGGAATCTGTGGGCTTTGGCAATACAAGTAGTCCTATGAGAGTGAACCAGAGAATGTTTTTGTTCTGGTTTTGTAGGAATGTAGCCCGTGTCCTGAATTTTGAAAAGCTCTACTTTCTTGAAGTATACTTTTCTTTTTTTACTGCAGATAATAGAGAAAAATGCCGATCCTGAACAGATGCTGCTGTTTTATCTGCGAAAGAGACGTATCCTTTTCTTGATTATTTTTCCTTCCAGTCACTTAATTGAAAGCCTTTTTCAAGTAGAATTCTCATAAGTGATAATTAAAACGATGTTTTCCAGGTTAAAGAAGCTGTGACTTCCTTAAGATAAAATAGCTGTGTTAAACAGTATGATGTTCTTAAGTCAAATGCTCTTCAATGAGCTGCTGTGTTTTCAGCCTAGTTTCCTAAACAAACAAGCTATCCTATTAAGCACAATTTACATGTGTGTATCTATCTGTCTGTTCCTAAAAACCTTTTGGCCAGTATGAATAAAATTTAACAACATAGTAATCTCCAAGTTTTGTAAAAAGTCTCTCTCCCTAGAAAGAAGAAATACCTTGTGATGATGGCCTAAATCTGTTTCAATTTTGTGATCATGTTTTTTTCTTCTAA